GTTGTAACTGGAACTGGTTAGATGGCCACTGAGAGATCTGAAAAGGAGACATTGACTTTGATAATTTTACCTCATTCCATGATCTTGTCCTCAACACTATACGTCTAGAAACCAAATGTGAATGGTTCTCCTGGGGACAGATTGACATTAACCAAGCTCTTAAGAGTCTGATGTATGAGTCAGAAATCCAACATAGTATTTACTCATTAAAGTTTATGCAACAAGTCAACACATTCTCTTCCTTATAGAAAACAATCCATGTGGGAAGCCAAATTATAATCCAATATCTTGGTCAGCAGGAATCAGCAAGGGGAATTAGCTAGATGGTGATTGTCATTAGTGCTATCACGTTATTATTAGGTGCTGTCAAGTTGACTCTAACTCATAACAACACCATGCACAAGAGAACAAAACATTGCCCAGACCTGTGACATCCTCATGATCATTGCTATGTCTAAGCCCATTGCTGCAGCTACCATATTAATCCCTCTTGTTGAGGGTCTTCCTTTTTTTCACTGACCACTACTCTACCAAACATGATATCCTTCTCCAGAGACTGGTTCTTCTTAATAACATGGCAAAGTATGTGAGACAGTTTCACCATCCTTGCTTCTAAGGAGCATTCTGGCTGTACTTTTTCCAAGATAGTTCTTCCAGCAGTCCGTGGTATATTCAATATTCTTCCTCAATACTGTAATTCAAATACATAAGTTTCTCACTCTTCCTTCCATTGTCCAGCTGTCACATGCATGTGAGGCAATTGAAAACCATACCTTGAGTCAGACACACCTTTGTCCTCAAAGTGACTTCTTTGCTCTTTAACACTTTAAAGAGGACTTTTGTAGCAGATTTACTCAATATAACACATCATTTGATTTCTTGACTGCTGCTTCCATGGTGGTTGATTAAGGATCCAAGTAAAATAAAATCCTTGACATACATGCCCTCAAAAAACCAGGGCTCGGGAGAGCTAAGGCAACCCAGAGACTGGGTCTGGGCACTGCAGTGATACACTGTTTGCCTGCTATGAGTACTAGTATGGGGAGCCAAAGGACCAGAATTAGACAGGGTAAGTGTCAGCCCAAAGCCAGGTAGACATCCAAATTGATTCCTGAGTCCAAAGGAGGGAGGCTGGACAAAGGGGAGTGCTCCAAACACAAAGCCAAGTATTGAAGTCAGGGAAGCATGGGCGATGGGAAGTGTGGCCAATTTTAGTTTGTTAACTACAGAGCAGGCATTTATCCATTTCCTGTGGCAACAGTTAAGCACATATAAAGACGTATATTTTGAGAAAAGAGCCCCAATTTTTTCATAATAAATATCCAAAATGTGTATGATAAAAACAATGCAAATAGTATATAGGAAAATAAGTTCCTCTTCCCTCAGACCCACTGTTAAGAGTTTTAAATACCAAGGGATTTCTTTAAATGACTATCTATAAAATTTTGCCTCCAGAGATTGATTCAGTAGGTGATACCTGGAACCTGTAAATCTGAAATCTCCAGGGGATTTCAGGGTGCTTTGGGCATCATCAGCCTAATCTAGCTATCCACAGCCCCTCTGCCAGACAGCCTCTTGAACAGATCTTGAGTAGGTACCTGCAAAGCTTCCTCAGCCCTTTGTTTATGGTGTTACAGAATGACAAACATGGTTTTAGAGGTTGTTTTAGTTTAATTCTATTAATATCAGTTCTAGTACCACTTGCCATTAAGTCAGCTCCAAGTCACGGTAACACCATGTGTGTCAGAGTTCTATAGTATTTTCAATGGTTGATATTTCAGAAGTAGATTGCCAGAACTTTCTTGTGAGGTACCTTTCACTAGACTCAAATCTCTAACCTTTTGGTTAGCAGCTGGGCACTTAACTGTTTGCATTACCTAGGGATACCACTGACACCTAGATAGTACTTAAAGACACATAACTGGAAATGCTCACCAGGGGAGTATAGTAAAAGAAAAAGGGCCAGAGAACTGATTCCTGGGGTGCATTCCTGAAGAGATAAGGAAAGGAGGAAGAACAAACATAGAAGACTGAGGAGGAATGTCCAGAATGAGGAAGAAAACTGGAGAGTATGGTGTCTTTCCAAGTGAAGGAAAGGTTTCAAGGCCTTTTCATCTTTATTATGGTAGGCAGTGTTCTGGTTACCTAATGCCACTCTGTCAGGAATATGTACCACAAATGTGAAGGCCTTAACAAACAGGAGTTTATTCTTACAATTTGGAGGGTTTAAGTCTGAGGTCAAAGTGCCACACTATAGGGGCTAGGTGAAAGCCCCTCAACCTTGGACTTCAGCATTGCCTCCTGCTCCCGGCCCACTGGAACTAGAGGCTTTTCTTCACTCAGATGGCTTCTGGTTGCTGAAACTGACAAGCCCAAGTTTGACAAGTAAAAAGCACAGTCCCAATGTTACCAAACTGCATGACAGGCCATTAATTCAAGTCCATTGAAAATCCCAAGGTTGGCAGATTACAGTCTTGTACATATGTATTTGTATGTGCTACATGTAAGGTTCAAGCATGCCATAAGCTAGAGACCATTCCCAAAGCTGTTTCTTACATATGGTAAGCAGACCACATACCCAAAGTAGATTCCACCATGGAGGTGATTACCAGTCTCATCATGGGGAATACTACATCCAGCTGCCCAGCCACTCAACCTGGCCTAGGCAAGTTGATGCACAAACTTAACCACCACAGACAGCAAGTAAATATATGTTTTGGATTAATGGATTACAATCACTTGTGTAAGTCAGAGTGTATAAGAGGATCTCATGGAGGAAGGGTATTAATACAGGCACTAAATAAAGTAAGAATTGGATTGACATGGGAAAGGCCATTGTAGAATAACAAAAAATTGTAAAAATGGGCATCAGAAATAGCTCATTTGAAGGAGGGCAGGAGATTGGCTTAGAAACAGTGGACGATGGTGTTTGAGAGCAATGAAAATCAGGTTGGACAAATGAAATGTGCCTAAATTTCCAGTCCTGAAGTGGAAACTTTGGACTAGTCTTGGATAAAGATAAAACACTATATTCTCTAAGGCAGTGGTTCTCAATGGGATGGTGAGTGATTTTTCCCCCAGAAGACATTTGTCTAAGTCTGGAGACATTTTAGAATGTCACTGTGGGGTGGGTTGCTCCTGGCATCTAGTAGGTGAAGCCCAGGGTTGCTGCTCAAAAGATACTCTACAATTGTCAAGACAGCACTCAGAATAAAGAATTTATAGTCCAAAATGTTAGCAGTGTGAAAGACAAGAAATCCTGCCCCATAGCATTTGCCCAAGCCCCTCTCTCTCTCTCTCTCTCTCTCTCTCTCTCTCTCTCAACTTTTTATTTTGATTTGGGTGAAATTTTACAAAGCAGACTCTTACCTTCAACAGTTCACACATTTTGTTTAATGACACTGATTACAATCCCGGCAGTGTAACAGCTCTCCTCCCACTTCCTCCCTGTGGTCACCCTTTCCCTGTGTCCTTCTTGCCTATGTATTTCTGCCTCCCTAACTTTCGCTCTGTGCAAATAATGATCACATTCTTCTGATCTCCCATGATTGATTGTTCTAAGGAGTGCATCTCCCTGGTGTAGTTGTTCAGCTCATAGTCCTGTCTATTTTTGGCTAAGAGTTAAGCTACGGAAGTGAGTTCAGTTTCTAGGCCTGAAGGGTGGGTGACTCAGGGCCATAGTCTCAAGGGTTTCACTAGCCTCTATCTGACCAGTAAATCTGTTTTTTTTTTATGTTTTTAAATTTTATTCCACACTTTTTCTCCCACTCTATCCAAGATCTCTGATTTTGATCCCTTTCCAAATGGCATTGATAGCCAAGCACCATCTAGTTCTTCTAGTCTCAGGGTCATGTAGGCTGAGGTTCTCACAGTCCTTTGGATTATTTCTTCACTCTTCTTTGCTCCGCACAAGGAAAGACCAATAGTTTCATCTTAGATGGCCACTCTCAAGCTTTTAAGACCCTAGTCACTACTCGGCGAAGTAAGACTTAGAACAATATTTTTCTGTACCATGTTGCGCAATTGTCCCCCATGGCAATTGTTCTCAGCCCTCAGGCCCAGTGACTCATTCCCTCAAGGTGCTTAGTTGTAACTAAAAAGTTATCCTAACTTTGCCCCCTCTTAGCTTTAAATTGCATATGGAGATACTTATAGCACATACAAATTGGTATGTAGGAATATCATCTGCCGAACCTATCTATGTCATGAGTATATTCCTATTTGCCTATTCATACCTCATCTTCTTTCCTGTCTACCCATATATCCACCCATATATTAGTGCTTACTATTACTGATAATGCAGTATTGTGTATGCAATAGTGTTTACCTTCTTTGTAACTCTTTGAAACTCTCCATGTCTTTCTTTTCCTTAATGACCCAAGCATCTCCTTTTTCTACACTGGGCACTGACAGCTACTGATTGTGGTTACTTTAATGTTCTAGGGTTTAAACAGTTATCCTCTATTTTGTTGCTGCATCTCCCATCTGTCTTTTTTATTCCAGGTAGAAAAATTAGAGAAAAAGATTTCAGCACAGAATGCTGTGTCCCACAAATGATAGATCATGGATGGTTGAGTCTATGTTAAGCCTGTTTTTCTAGCTTAATTTTTGAAATCACATCTTGTTACAGATTAGGCTTTTGCTTTCCCTTTCCTCTGTCAGTTATATGCAAAAGAATTGAATAATAAAATTTAATTTAATTTTGTGCACCTTAATATGATTTCCTTATTATCTCAGATGCTTCAGAGCAAAGATACTAGTGAGGGAGAGGTGCTAAGCAGACTATGCAGTATAGAGTTTTATTTAAAAATTTAACAGCTGTATCTAAGAGCCAAATGTTTGCTAACCATTTCTAATGTTGGAAAAAAAAAAAAAAAGTAACACAGAATGAAAGATCCTAAGCATTTTCAGAATGAAGATGAGGAGCTAGAAAGAACAAAGATTTGCCAAGTATGAACTGGGTCCTGTTCCTGGAAGTGCTTCTGTTTCCTCTTTTCCAGTGCTATATGTTCCACATGTATGTTGGGGTACGTGCTGGTGGAGGCATCGGTGATGAGATTGAAGATCCAGCAGGAGATGAATATGAGATATATCGCATCATCTTTGACATCACCTTCTTCTTCTTTGTCATTGTCATTCTCTTAGCCATAATACAAGGTAAGCATCATCCTCAGGGAAGCTCAAGAAAATTTGGAATTTGAGACATGTATGTGTTCAGCTGCTAACTGAAAGGTTAGGGGTTCAAGTCCACTCAGAGGTGCCTCAGAAATAAGTCTCAGTGCTCTGCTTCCCAAAACTCTGACACTGAGTTGAGTCTGTTCTATGGCAACTGGTAAGAGTTTAAAGTATTTTCTGAAAAAGCCAAATGGTACATTTCCTTTCAATCTTTCTTCATTATAAATCTATAAAGAACAAAGATTCATGGGGCATTGCTATAAGGGGAAGGTAAATACGGTTTGTGGTCTCTTTTCAAATAACATAGCAGGAAGAACACATTTAGTCTCTGAGACTGGGCTTTAAGTCCTGCCACTTATTAGCTTCATGACTTTTGATAGGTGAGCCATTTTGCCTCTGCATCTCTAAAACAGAAATTAGGTAAATCTCTAAGTCATGGTATTATTGAGAGGTTTTTTAAATGATACACATCTAAGTATCCAGCCCAGTTGTTGTTGTTAGCTGACATCACACAACAGAATGAAAAGTGCCCAGTCCTATGCCATTGCTGGTATGCTCAAGTCCATTGTTGCAGCCACTAGGGGACTCATCTTGTAGCACTATATCATACAATATTCTGTCGTAAGAGTCGCCACCCATCTGTCAGACTGTCATATTCTGGTGGCTTGTGTGTTGCTATGATGCTGGAAGCTATGCCACTGATATTTCAAATACCAGGAGGGTCACCAGGCTGGACAGATTTCAGCATAGCTTTCAGATTAACACAGCCTAGGAAGAAGGTCCTGGAGTTCTACTTCTGAGAATTATCCAGTGAAACCCCATGGATCACAACAGAGTGCTGTCCCAGCTCAGTACTGGGTGCATGATCAGCAAATCATAAATAATTATAGAGCTGTCCTTGTTGAGTACCTAGTACATGCCAGGCACATTGTCAACTCATTCCACCCTTACGACGATCTTATGAGAATGGTGTTATTATCCATGATAAGTCTAGGTAACTTGGCCTAGGTAACTAGGTATTTGGCTAGAAAGTATTGGGGCTGGAGTCTAAATCCAGCCAGCTGGACTCGGAGTCCTCACTTATACCCATGGTGCTAAACATACCCACTTATTCTTTCTTTTACTACAGGGCAACGTGGAGTATGGTGTTTTTCTCACTCAGAAAAATTACTCACATTATCTTTTCTGCTTACACATTTTTCCTGGCTTAAAACAAATATCTATAAATGTGACATTCTCCTTTAAATTCCACAGACATAAAATGGTCTTTTTTTTCTCCCAGCAAAGTACATGGACAGGTTTAAAAGACTCATAATCCATTCTTTATGTCTTTACTGAGTGTAACAGTAATGTGTTGTAGAAGAAGGCAGAGTCATAAAACACTAGGAAAAAATGTGCAGCTGGTGAGGCTCAGGAGAGAGAAGGGCTAAAACAAAGCATCTCAATGCAGTTCGTTTCTGATTGGAGCAGTTAATAAATAATGGAAGAACTTATTTGTGAGGATCTCGTGAATAAAGTTA